AAATAAATAAATAAATAAATAAATAAATAAATAAATAAATAAATAAATAAATAAATAAATAAATAAATAAATAAATAAATAAATACATGTACACATGTACCATCCACTAACCAGGGCATCCCAGGTGTACAATACATATACTCTGTTTATACAAACAAAAAGTAAATAAATAAATAAATAAATAAATAAATAAATAAATAAATAAATAAATAAATAAATAAATAAATAAATAAATAAATAAATAAATAAATAAATAAATAAATAAATAAATAAATAAATAAATAAATAAATAAATAAATAAATAAATAAATAAATAAATAAATAAATAAATAAATAAATAAATAAATAAATAAATAAATAAATGTACCATCCACTAACCAGGGCATCCCAGGTGTACAATACATATACTCTGTTTATACTGATATATGTGCCTGAACACGATGGACAATATCGGCAGCAATGTATGAGATATCCACTCTGGCGTCAAGAGTCTGCTTATCGAGTATACGTCACGCGATAAGCACGCGAGTCGTTAGTTCATTACCAAAACTTGTCGTGCATTCACAGTGTATGGAAAATGTCAACGCATGGGTGGTTTTTGAATTCCCATGCATAGCTATGATCTCCGTCTTCCATTGAATATGCTATTAACTGAGCCATTATTGACACCTTATTAATTATGTATGTACGCATGGAATTTATTAATAGAAAGATTGTTGTCACGATACGGCTATCTTGGGAATGTAGACATCCATCCAGTCGTAGGAATCGTGTTGGTGAGATGAGTGTACCGAGGAGAGCTAACCTGACAAAACATGTCATTTTGCTCACACGATTTATCCGATGATTAAAGTTTAGACTTGTCATTCATTTCGCCTCCAAAATATCCGTAGTTTCGTTGCATGCCTGTCGAGAATAACCGCTAAAGGTCCCACATCCGGGTACTTTGTTGTCATCTGAGTATTTGTTCGATGAAACAACGCCATTCTCTGATATACATGTACACTGGTTGTTATGGTCTTAATGGTTTTGATTTTTCATTTATGATCGAATACTGTCGTGTGTCATGCAAACACAACATTTTAATATAGGGTATGTTGTGTAGAACTACATTATGATTTTACCCATGTTGCATCTTGAAGGATGAGATTTTTTTTTTGGCATTTTCATGCCCGCATTGTTTCCATTTTAAACTGCATCAAACGGAAATAACTGAGAAATTCTCGTTAAGGTAGAAGCCTACTCACAAATCTAAAAAATCTAGAATGTATTCATGTTGCAATAAATTGCAATTCTGGTCAATATAAAGGGACACTGTTAGTCTATTTTCGAGAAAATTATGCTCTACTTTATGGCGGTCACTTTGTCAGTATTGTAACGGTTTTAACATTGGTTTCCATGGTGAAGAAATTATGCCATATCTCAATAAATAAAATAACCAATTTACGAGTAATTGTGAACTTGTATCCCATACGTTGTCAGATTGTGAAATCTTTTAGGAATCACGCATGACAATGCCTGCAGAAGATGAAGGCTTATGTTAGATATAATGTTGAATAACAATAAAAGATGTTGAATGAGTTAAACTACACCCTCTCAATTTATCAGGTTACATTGGAAAGTCTGGGTACCGTTAATTTTGGTACAGGGGTTGCTTTACTACACAGTTCTGATCACATTTTAATAATACATATTGGTTAATATGAATAGCAATGTAAACCGCTTGTTTACGTTATGCCTTATTTTTCTGTTTGCGTTGTTTCGTCCAATAGCTAGACCTAATCAGAAAACGGTCCATATTTGTTAGTCTGGACGTTAGTTAGTCCACCCCAACGAGTATCTTTACACCATGCAACATAATAACTACTGTATAACTTAAAAACAAGCCATTCAAAATGACAAAGTTTCCGTCAATTTTTACTTAAATTGCTCAACATAAGACATACGATGTGTAATGTAACAATAAAGTTTGGTCGGCCATGGCATGTCAGTGATATTGTTCTGGCACAGCATTGTTAAGGCAAAATGGCTGCCAGTCGGCCATTTTGACTTCAATCTGAAAAAAAATTACGGCATCAACCATAACGTCCAATTGACTTACCATGTTTTATTGATATATGTCCATGTCTGGCTGACAACCAGGTCCGAAATTGAAGACATGATTTTGGTAAATTTCTTTGAAATTAGACCATGAAACAAATATATCTGTATATGTATGATATGATGTTTGATGTGTGTGAATAAAATCGGCCCATGCATGTCCCAGATACAGGTGCGGACGGAATTACACAAGGACGGACGACTCATCCATGATAAACATCTTTAGATTGTTGTTTAATTACAAGACAGTCTTTCTCTGGCAACAGACTGAAAATAGTTTAACTTCGAATGGTGTTTCGAGTCGTGCGTGGTGTCATCCTGAATCTCGCTTCGACAATCTATCATGGTTACGTCAGTTCTATTTTTAGTAAATCAATAAACTGCTCGGCTGCGCTTGCTCGCCAGGCACTGCGTGATACGTTATATGACTTTTAATAAATAATAACACTATCTCTGTTCTCCTTTTGCAGGGCATGTTCATCGTGGCATTTCCGTACTCCGTTCTGCATGGAGGATACTGGGCAATAGTCGTCATTGTCGGAATCGCGTATATCTGCTGTTGGACTGGCAAGATATTGGTGTACTGTCTATATGAAGAGGACAAACAGACAGGGGAGAAGATACGCGTGCGCAAGACCTACGTTGAGATAGCTGAAGAGGTGTGGGGGAAACGTCGCGGTGCACAAGTCGTGTATGCCGCACAGTTTGTGGAGCTAATCATGACTTGTATCCTGTATTTAGTTCTATGTGGCGACCTGCTGTCGAACAGCTTCAAATATTCTGGTATATCAGCGAGCACGTGGACAATCATATCGTCTGCGTTTCTGGTGCCGTGTGCATTTCTGCGCAATTTGAAATCTGTTTCCCGCCTAAGTTTTGGTTGCACAGTGGCTCACATCTTTATCAATATCATCATAATCGGCTATTGCGTTACCCAAATACCTCACTGGCAATGGGGTGAGGTCCGTCTGTTGGTTGACATCCATTACTTTCCAATAGTGCTTGGCATCGTCGTTTTTAGCTACACGTCACAGATTTTCTTACCCAGCCTAGAAGGAAACATGGAAGATAAGCACAATTTTAACAAAATGATGCACTGGACGCACGGACTAGCTGGCCTCTTCAAGGCCCTCTTTGGGTACGTTGGTTTTCTCACCTGGGGGTGGGCAACGAAAGAAGTCATCACAGACAACTTACCAAGTGACGTGTTTCGCGCTATTGTTAACATATTCCTAGTGGTCAAGGCGTTGCTCTCATATCCACTGCCCTACTTTGCCTCCGTCGAACTCATTGAAAGACACTTCTTCCAGGGACGTCCGGCGACTTTCTTCCCAACGTGCTATGCACTGGACGGCGGACTTACTGTATGGGGTGTATTTCTCCGCTGTGTGTTAGTTGTATTTACTTTACTATTAGCAATCTATGTTCCACACTTCGCACTGCTTATGGGTCTTATAGGTAGTTTTACGGGGACTATGCTATCATTTATATGGCCATGCTGGTTTCATTTGAAACTCAAGTGGCACTCAATACCATGGTATCAAAAAATGTTCGATTTTATAATAATACTTACAGGTTTAGTGTGTGGAACCATAGGTATTATTTATGCAAGTCAAGCCTTAGTCGAAGCTTACCAAACAAACATTACGACAGGTTTCTAAATGTTGTATACAGGTATATCTATGGAAACGCACAGAAATTGTTTTTCAAATCCATGGTCATTATCACTGTTGTCATGGCGACTACTGCCATGGCAGCTCTATTTGTTACAATGACAAACAAGGCAACCTGTATTTACTTACCCTGACATGTAGGCGTGAGTGGTGCCCTCGCCGGCCGAACGGCATCAGACCCCCGAGTACCGCGGAGGGTGCAACTCACGCGACCTTGTTAGGCTAGTGTCCACTCGGAACATATCTCACTACCCTCGACCCTTGAGTAACAATACACAAATATAAGACTAGGTGAGCAATAGTACGGAATAACCCAGGTGCATGTGCTTATTTTATATAATTAAAGGTGCAATATGGACGAGAACATGTATGTGTTGTTGTTTGACACTGTATGTTGATGACTATGATTTATCATGACCTGAAAGCCCTGTTCTTATAGCAGGTATTGGAGTTTTTGTATAAAACAATGACATTCTCTAATATGCATGTGCAATGGTTGTTTTTGTACGTACCAATAACAATCCATGTACATGCGCATTAGTGGGTTTGATCCTTCGTCTATGATCGTCTATGATTTTCAGTTAAATCATTATCCGATTTGGTTTACAGTATATAGTGTCGAACATCATGTTTTCGCTCACATTGCATATTAAAGGATGAGATCTTTTTCGGCACTTTCTTTGTTACCAACTCGGGTACTAACTTACTTATTTTTCTATCCCTGGGGATTATAGCGTGTAATCCCTTAGGGTACCTGTGCTACTAAACAGTGAAACACTCCTCGAAATTAACTATATCATCTCAGTGTTTAGGATAACTCAGTGTTGTTTACACAACTTGATAAATGTACCCGTTTATTTGAGTTTAGTTGATTTTTTCATCTGAAGAAACAAACAAACTTTAGTATTCATCACCCGTTAAATTCGTCATTTTTACAAACATATGTTACACAAGCATAATAGCAATAATTTGAATTCAATACTTGCATAGATTATTTGTTCGTTTATTTCAGTAAAATGTAATTTTTTCCCCTTTTAATTCTCTATGTATCAGCGACATTGTAAATACGTCTGTTATGAGTCTTGGCGGCGTGTTACTGTATATTCCAATAATATCATGTTGCTCCTGACACAGAACGTGAACTGGGGCTAATTTTATTATAATTTGTATAAATCATTTTTAGAATGTACATATGCCGGAGACGTGTAATCATTTATCTGCTTATAAGCGGGCAACTCGATCAGGTTTTCGCGAGATTTGACGAAAATGCCCTCATTTAATTCACTGACAGAGGAAATAACATGCTAAACAAGTCATGAATAACACAGTCCCCTTTATTTAATTATAAAATACTCATGTTAAAATAATACATGGAACATCTGTAAGTACAACTCATCATAAAGTGATTTCCCTTAATCTGATAACTGAAAACTTTCATTGACCCGGGTCCAAAATCTCAGAGTACACAAGTGCAACAAAACTATGTCTCATGCACGCTCAAGAAACTGCATTCATAAATCTGAATAACAACTTGACTTCTTTGTTAATTCAGGTCTTTGTATATTACCAGGACCTGGGTTTGTTTCATTATCACCACTATAATTCCCATCAAAATGTAGCCCTGACACCCCTCTACATTTTTCACTGAGATTGGTAATGGCACAACCCACCTGTCACTGACTCAGATCAAGGTCATGACCAGGTCATGCCATCACTAAAAACTCTAGCATTACAATCTAAACTAATTATTCATTCTGAGCATGCTTAGTTGCTCTGTCAGTGCAGTAGGAAGAGGTAATTTTGGATGAAATTCTTGAGAAAGACCCACATAAGACTTTCATATCGCGAAAAAAAAATACGTGCATATTTGGCAGAGACTTGTTCATCAACCTGCCAAGTTTCGTCGATATCTGTTGCAGAATTTCTGAGAAAATGTTAGAGACGTCACAGACGGAAAATTGAAATAAGAATTAATAATCTGACTTTCTGCGACTAAAAATCTCCCAACTGCAGACGCTTAACTTGCGCCCTCAGTGGTTAGGGTTGGTAGCCAACGGTAGAGGGCGCAAATCAAAGACGCGATAAAGTTTTTATACAGCTGTCTAATTCTGTCTAATCTGACTTCTGATCTAATATACCCTTTGTCAGATTTGGTGACTTCAATGCCGGACTCAATTATTTGAAAATGCTGACACTTATAGACACTGGGATGTTGATTTTGAATTTGGCGTTTTTATTAGTTACTGTGGTCACGATGACAAGGTTTCGTGCAGCATACTTTTTTAATTTCATGTAAACAAACATTGTATTTTACCCACGTCGCATGTGACCCACAATGACCCACATGTATTTGTATGTACCTCGGGGCTTCTTTTTCCCAACTTGAATTTCCCATAATTCAACAAGTTTTCCATTTGTTTGTTTTTAGTTTGTTTCCTCACGGCTAAATTCCTACTCGACTTTCTCCAACTTATGGACAACACATCTAAACGGAAGCTTTCCCTCATGTGTAATCACAATGAACTCTTGGTTATCAATGAACCCCGAATTCACATCTCCCATCGTGAATTCAAACCAAACGAGAAATCGATTTATTATTATTTATATACGTTCAATAATAAGTTTTATATTAGTCTCAGTATGTCTCATTATTCATACAAAAAAAAAAAAAAAATTTGTTTTTT